GTGTCCTAATGATAAAGGAAGCAAAAAATAATCCATGAAGAACATTTTTGATCTTGATTTTTAAGATTTTTAAGATCTTAATCTCAATGCTATTAAACCTCTGACCACTTCTGCCTATTTATGGGATGGTTTTGATTTAGTAATTATTCACTTCCCAATACAACCCTTGTGATCGATAATTATAGGTCAGGCTGGTCATACACCATCATGTGAGGAAAACTAAACACTTCTGTGAATAGGTTAATTTTTATGGATCATAGTATTTCACCAGATTTGTAACCTTTGGATGCAGATCATGGCCATACCTTGTTTGTCATTGATAGACTATAATGACAATGTTTTGCATGGCTTGTGTCCAGGGTAATGGTAGCTGTTATGACAGTCATTGGTATTCTATGGATTCCTGTTGTTCAGAATGTACAAGGTGGACAGCTTTTCATCTACATTCAGGCTGTTAGTGCTTACTTCTCTCCACCAATAGCCTGTCTTTATCTCATATCAATCTTCTGGAAAGGGGCCACGGAAAAGGTACATGATATATAAAATTCTTTTTAGTTATATATAAGGGGAAATTTCATGGTGTCTACAGGCAGATTCAGGATTTTCTTCAAGGAGAAGTGCTTAGTTTGAGGGGGTCTGTGGTGAGTCACTGTGATGGACTCCACTAGGTGGAAATGGGAAAATGCAATTCCTAATGCAAAGAGGAGTGTGTGACAACACTACAGACATTACTAAACATGTCAGTGTCTGCATCTCTTTGGAATCCACAAAATAATGAAGAAAAATCTCTATAAAAGAGCGTGGGTGCTAGACTGGAGTTTGTGAAAGTCTAAAACATTTTAATTAATGGACTTATAGCRATATTTATCTCTCTCTCTCAGGGTGCATTCTGGGGCATGATGGTTGGTTTTATCATCGGTGCAATCAGAATGGTGCTAGATTTCACTTATCAACCCCCGCTATGTGGACAACCTGATACCCGACCAGCTATAACCAAAGACCTTCACTATATGTACTTTGCCCTGGTGTTATTCTGGATTACTGCTATTGCTATTGTAGCTATTAGTTTGTTTACCAAGCCATCTGAAGATTCAAACGTGAGTACTCAAAACAACATAGAGCCAAAGGATACTTTAGTTTGGGTAGCAGGGGCCACTTCCCTTCCATCACCAATCCCCCCTCCCCACCCCCCTAAGGCCGTCTATGTATACGTGCACGCCATAAAACGAAAACCTACGATGCAAAGAGCGGAATGCTTCTTGGTTTTTCATTACTTTTCTGATTGAAATCAAATTTTTTTTTWAAACTGAGAACGATGGTTGGTGATTGCGCTCWACTGTTCTGCGCGTATTGCACAGGGAGTCCGGTGAGAAAAATTAATGAAGAAATCAAGAAAAACGTTTTAAAACTGATAAACTGTTAGAATTCATTACAAAATCGAAGCATAGTTTATTATGTTTTATGCTTTTAA